GTGGTGCCCAGCGCTCTGTGCCCCGCTGCCATCCCCCGATTGCCGGAAGACTCCCGGGGACGGGAGAGGTGATTCGCGTGGTCACGCGCACTGCCGAGGGGACCAGCCAACACTCGGCGGAAGAATTACAGGGGGCTATATTGTGCAGTGTACCCATCACCCTGACTCTATGCCTCATTGACGCGAAGTGGCGTCACGCCACGCAGAAACTGGCGCGGGCGGGATGTTCCCGCCTTTGGTCTGGCACAGACCTGTGGGCTCGGCGCGGCACGGGGATCACCACGTGGGCATGTGAAGCATTGATTGGCTGATACCGCAAATTCACGTGCGCTGTGAGCTACCATTGGTTAGAGCGAGAGCGATGCAAACTGCAGGCCCAGGAGCTGCGCTTCTCAGCTGAAGGGGGAGAGGGGGCGCGAGGCGGCTAGCTGCAACGTCAGCCGCCCAATCAGCCCTGCCCCCAGCTCGCCCCCCTCCCTGCAGCGCCAGCCCTGTGCTCCCCCCGCTTCCTCATCCCCCCCCAGTGCTAGCCCTGCCCCCAGAGCCCCTTCTCATCCCCTGCCCCCAGTGCCCCTTCTCATCCCCTGCCCCCAGTGCCCCTTCTCATCCCCTGCCCCCAGTGCCCCTTCTCATCCCCTGCCCCCAGTGCCCCTTCTCATCCCCTGCCCCCAGTGCCCCTTCTCATCCCCTACCCCACAGTGCCAGCCTTGCTCCCCACAGCTCCTCTCCCCGCCCACCCCTGCACTCCTGCCCTGCCGCCAGCCCCCACCGCTGCCTCTTTGCCCACAGCCCTGCCCGCCTGTGCCCCCTGCTCTTCCACAGCCCCTCCCTTTGCTGCAGCACCCGCTGCTCCCCCAGCGCTCCACTGCCATGCTAGTCTTGCCCTGTGACTTCCTCACCCTGCCTCCCCTGCTGCACCAGCTCTGACCTCACCACCACCCCCATTTTCTCACATCCTTTCTGTGCCTAGGGTTACCAGATGTTTTCAGAAAAATACCCAACACACTTGATCTCAGATGGCGGTGGGGACCGATTGGGAGGGGAGCAGGGCACAGCTGGCAGGAAGCAGGGCTGGCCCAGAGGAGGTTGGGAGGAAGCAGGGCTGGTCCAGGCAAACATAGATCCTGGGGTGCAGCCCATCCCTCGCACAGTCCTGGCCTTCCATCCCGGCCCCGCCCCCCTCCTCTCTATTGTGTAATTGTATACTGCCTGGTGAGTAGACACGCTCACGCAGTACGCAACTATGTACTGATAATCATGATAATAAAACTTAATTAGAAAATACCGGACATTTATATGTCCGGTATTTTCTCAATTTGTTTCCCGGACAGAAAGCTCAAAAACCGGACACCTGGCAACCCTATCTGTGCCAACTCTGTCCCCACTTTCCCTGCTCTTGGGCTGCTGTGCCAGCTTTCTCCTCCCCTCCCCACCACTTCTTACTCCCCCACAGCACTTCTCTCCCTGTGCCAGGACTGCTCCTCAGTTTCCCCTCCCTGCTGTGCCATCCTGCCCCTAACTGTCTCTCACTTCCCCTCATCCCCACCCCTGTTGCCCATTTCCTTGCTCTACCAGTCCTGCCACTAGGGCAACCTGTTCTTCTATGACCCCTCTCTCTGCCATGCTAGCTTTGTCCCCTCTTCTGTTGCCCCCCGCCCCTTGCTGTTTGAGGTGCATTCAGATATAATTACATGTTTTCCATATTGCTAACCATACAGTACAGCAGGGGTCAGCAACCTTTCAGAAGTGATATGCCAAGATTTAACTTATTCACTGATCTGGGTACGGTGACCATATTTTCTGAACCAGCTGCAGCTAGGGAGAACAGTTCAATTTAAATTATGAAACAGATTAAGCATTTAACTTTCTCATGTTAGTTTATTAAACTTCACCTTATTTAAAGTAAAATATTATGTCCAACACAAAAGGTTTCAATGAGGGATAGGGAACCTTTTTTGAGTTGGGGAGCCACTGACCCACAGAAAAACCAGTTGGAGACCACACAGTGAGAAGCAAAAAAACCCTACTAACCCTCACTGATATAGCCCCCAACTGAAACACCTCACTCCCTAGTGCTCCAACCTCACAGGGCAAGGGGAAGGAACAGGGAGGACTGAGGTTCAGGGTTTCCTGTAGGCCAGATTTACTTTTCTGGCATTCTGGAATTGGAGGATTTTATGATCCCCCTTAGGTTCTGGAGTAGGGACAAAAATGAGGGGTTTAGTGTGTGAGACAGAGTTGCCAGCAAGTAGGATAGGTATGGGGTGCAGAAGGGGGAAAAGTTGGGAGGTGGGGTGCAGAAGCAGGCTGGGAGTAGGATGTCGGCTGGTGGAGGCTGCAGGGGCCAGGGGGGGGGCAGGGGGTGGCAGGAGCAATGGTGGATACAGGAGCAGGGTGGGGCTATGTGTCTGGCCAGGCCAGGAGGGAGGGTGCAGGAGCAAGATAGGGGTGTAGTGTCTAGCTAGGAGAGAGGATGCAGGAACAAGTGAGGGCGTTGGAGCAAGCTGGAAGTGTAGGGTCTTGGTGGGGGGAGGTGAGTGAGGGGGATTGGGATGTGGGGGTTTGGGCATAAGGAGGGACACTTACTTGACAACTGCTGCGACCATGCTGTCCTGAGCCAACCTGCAGGCCCCACTGACGCTTCCACCACAGACCGGAGCCAGCCCCAGAGGACCCACTGCCTCCAGCCTCCAGGGCTGGCCCCAACTGTGTGCGCCACAGTAGCAGCGGGGAAGGAGGCGATAGGGCTGAGCTCCCTCCCTCATGCTGCTTAAAATCGGCTCACATGCCATAAGTGGCATACGTGCCATAGGTTGTCAATCCCTGCTATACAGTTTGGACTCTGGGGGTTTGTCTATACTACAGGACAAGTTAAGATACACAACTTCAGCTACATTAATTGCGTAGCTGAAGTCAAAGTACCTTAACTCGATTTTTGGCGCTTTCTACACTGCAGGAAGTCAAAGGAAGAACACTCTTCCTTCGACTTCCCTTACTCCTTGTGAAAGCAGGGTTGGCAGCATCAACCGGAGTGCCCCTCTCACTTCGAATTAACTATCTTAAATACACTGCTAATTCGAACTCTGGAAGATCAACAGCAGCAGCTTCGTATAATCATAATCAGCAATAAAGGTTTTGCACAACAAACTTGTGCTTTCAGCTACTTCTGGCAGCAACCCTATTGTCTTCCAGTTATGACTTTAGGAACACTCGTGGAAGCTCATGGCCTTCATTGGGTTTGCACAGCTGTAACTTACTGGAACCTAGTAAACAATTTTAGCGATAATCCTCAAGGACAAATTGTGTCCAGCCTGCTCCCCCACACAGCCCTGCAAAGCCAGCAAAAGAGCAAGAAAGCAATGCAACCTTATCATCACTGAAGTCAGCACAAAATACTCCAAATGCACAATAGGAACCGCTTTGCTGAGTGGAAATGTACCACGTATACAAGGTATTTTTTTTTTCTTTTAAGAGCAAAATAACATTTTGAGTCATTGGAGGGGAAACTGCCCTACATCTCAGAAGACATCACAATAGCAGCTCAGTGAACCATGACGACTGGTCTGAAAAAAAATGCATCAAGGAGCTCACTGAGTTTCAGTACAGAATGGAGGGGAGGCAGTGAAACAAAGAAGCCAAACAAGGGAATGCAGCAAGGAACTCACTGAGTTTCAGTACAGAATGAAGGGGAGGCAGTGAAACAAAGAAGCCAAACAAGGGATTGGAGGGGTAGGGGGGTGGATA